GGTTGAGAATTTTGAGTCCTCAAATGTTGGTTTGGCCACATTATTAGTTTGAAAGCTAATATATGGTGGTTGTGTGCTTGTGTAGATTAGTTGTGATTCTTATTGGTGCACGGGGCATCGTTGGTGGTTTGTATTCCTTGCTCAAGCGAGAGGTAACCACTTTCCAATCCTTTGTATATGCTATTATGGTACTATGAGTGGATTTATGTTTTCGTGCTCCAAGTAATATATGGTGTTCTAAAGGTAGTTTGTATATTGAAAAAGAAATTTGTCTTGTGGGGTTTTGTATAATACTGAATGTATTGGGAAATTTCTGAAAGATATGCCACTAATTGAAGCCATATGTGAAATGGTATATTTACTCTTTGGTAAAGATGTTTGAGCATGATACATATATTGGGATTTGGTGAGAAACTTGATTGTTACTACCACGTGGTAAGGCCTCCATTAATGCATGATAGTTGGCTTTTTACGTTCCCCATAGTGAGGGATATGCCTTTTGGCTCCTTATGTCCCCCATAGTAAGAAATAGGCCGAGTTTGGCTCTTGAAAATCCCCCAAAGTGAGAGATTTGGTAATGGGTCGCATCATTGCACTTGCATGATTTGTTGTAGCTATCGTTTATATTATTACTTATTAAATTGCCTCACTTGACATCTCACGAGTATCTATTAGTTTGTACTCTGAATTGGAAAGGTTCGTTACTGGGACTTTTGTCTTACCCCGTGGTTTATAATGTTTTTAGGTGAAGGTTCTAAGCGTGCGCCTCCAGGGAGGGACACTGAGGCTTGAGCTATTTTTAGCAGTAATACCTCTAGCTTGTGTAGGTGTATTGATAGTTGTATATTGCCACACATAGGGTCATTTTGAAAATATTTTGGTTGACATAACACATTTGTGAGCTGGAGATGTTGACTCTCTATTCTGTTGGCCAAAGGCCGTTCTTGTTATTGTACAAAATTTTGAAATTTATATCCTTGTGGATAGTTGGATGAGCTTTTGTGCAATTTCTTATTTGCTTAAGCTTGAGGCTCGGAGGCCTAATAGAATGAATTGATTGAATGAATGAATGAAAGATCTTTGGTTGCATGCAACTTGCTTGGGTTTCTACCCACAATTTAATTGTCAGTATTAAAATGTTTACTTGTTTTTTTTTCCTCCTATGATAGCAAGTATAACAATTTTTCTTTTTTATCATAGTAGTTGGTTATATGCTAAGCTCTTTATGTTTAGAGGGAAGGAGTTTTACACCATTAGCTTCTCCTTGTTCATTCTTCAACTTCTGATGCTACTTCTAGGACCCTAGTTTTCTTTTTTTAATTTCTGAAACAATAAAATAATAAAAAAACAGTACGCTGACATGCACCTCAAAATAAACAATGCCAGTTGGAACATTTTGATTGGATAGAGCACAGATGAGTTGGTACTCTGAGAGTACCTAAGTATTTTTCTATCGATGAATTGTCACATTCATTTTAATTCTACATAGACACTTTATAATTGGAATTATTTGTTTATACAATCTCACATTTTTATTTGTTCCCTCCAACATCAACAATTCATGAGGAATGAACTGAAAATGATGCATTATACTTTTTTTCTTCTTACCTCCACATTATTAGTTAATTAATACAAGGGAAAGGCATAACTAAAGGTATAACAAATACTTGAAAGCAACCCCATATATAAAGATTAAAAGTATATCTCGCTCATTTTATTACTTTTTGTAATTAATAAAATGGAAATATATGATTAACTAAACAAATTTATCTTCTTACCATATAGTTATAGCGCATAACAAGCTAAGCCAAGTTCCAATAATAATGATATATATTCACATTAATGAATTGAATAACAAGTAACAGGTACGTAACTCACAGATTCAAACAAAATATATTATAAAGATCTATCTGATTTCTTTGTGAAAGTAATTATAATTCTATCATATGATCCGTTATATTCACTTGCAGATAAGAGTAAATTGGAAGATATAATATTTTGTGCCTCTTCTTAGCACATGCTTGCACTGGCTCAGAAACAAACATTTATGAACTCTGGAAAAGAAGCGAGATCGGATCGAGGCCAAGTGAATATTTTTAAAAATTAAGAAATAGGTTTCCTTTTGACCACTCATATACTACCTTTGATCCTAATTATAAGACCTTATTTGTAGTATACAAATAAGGTTTTTAGAACCGGAGGTGGTACTTTAAACAAAAACTTAAATCTTGTAATATTTGTATACATTAAGACCGATGTTGCGTTTTCAGGCATATCATTTCTCGATTGGTGATATCATATCAAGAAATTTAATTAAGAGAGCTAGAGATATATTTTTTCCGTCATGTAAATGAAGGTTTTTGGTTTAAAATACATATTCATGTGTCAACTATTTGGTCTGCACATTTTAAAAAATATAATTCGTTTTTTTAAGGTAATGTGACTTGCTACGATCGAGTTCATATTAAAATCTAAAGTAAAATACATTAACTACCTTTTTATTTTATGTAAATTGTAAAAAGCTTTTCTCTATTTTGAAAATGCATACTACCTCCAGTCCTTAATATAAGACCCTATTTGACTTTTATTTTGGTCCTAAATATAAGACCTCAATCCACTTTGTCTCTCATATTTATACATTTTTTCCTAAGGTAGTTCTTCTAATAATTATAGTTCTAGCCAATATAGTTAATTGGTAAGGATATTTTAGGAAAAATAACACATATTTATTACAAATAACTAACTTAACTTCTTTCCTTAATCTCCTCAAATTAGTCAACTAGGTCTTATAATTAGGACCGGAGGTAGTATAAATTTTCTTTAAGATTAAAATGTATATTACACAAATCTCCTTCCATCCATCCAATCATTAGTTGACCGTTAAGTTTGACTTTTAAAATTTTATTTTGACCAAAATATCTCTCCTTAATATAAATGTTTAAATAACATTTATAAAAAAATAACTTTTAATACAACAAAAAAATAATTATAATACAAATATTTTCAAAATTTTTTATATGCTGTAAAATTTATTAGTTATTAATTTTAATTATATTATAGAACTATATAATTTTAATTTTTCATGAAATATTGAACCTTATTTATTTAGGTTTCTTTTAAATCGATGGAAGATGTTTTAAATGCTTATTTGAGTGTGAGAAATTATATAAATCATTTAAATTTAAAATTTAAAATTTTAAAAAAGGTTGTTGTAAATATTTATAACCTATTTGATTGATTATATATTTATTTAAAGAATTAATCAAATTTTCATTCAATTTTTTATGTTTACATCAAGTGAATTACTTAATTTTTTGTCCTGATTAATTTGATAAAAACATTAAAAAAATAACTATTTGTAAAAAGGAAAAAATTAAGGTAAAAAATTTAAAATTTTCAAAATAGTGTTTGTAAAAATTTAGAGATTTAGTATTATGAAGGATAAATTAGTAAATAAAAAGTATTGCAACATAAATTTTAATTAAAAAGACATCTTTTTAAAATATTTTTAATGAAATTAATGATTTGGACCTAAGTGTATGTTTTCAAAATAAAGAGAAGATCTATATAATAAGAACAAAATACAAGAGAAGTTAGAGTACTTTACTCTAAAACTTAATTAAATCTATTTTTTAAAAAGAAAAACTTGGACCAAAAGCATAAACATACATCGTTGGCGAAAAAAAAAAGGGAGAATAAACATACATATTTTCAAGAACAAAATAATTACATTTCTTCTCCGTTAATTTGATGCTTCGAATCTCTCTTTTATTTAATCATTTTATAATAGTATAATTATTTTTTCTTTCTATATGTTTTATTGGCAAAACTAATTTATCTAATTTAAAGCCCCCTTTCATATATATAATAATATATATTTAAGTCATCTTCTAGAAACTTTTCATACTTTTATTTGTAAGTCATTTGCAAAATATGTGAAACAAATAATTTTTTCAATGTTACCGTTAGTATAAGTAGGATGTATATATTATTGCCGGTCAAAAAAGTATGGTATAGTATTAAATAATTTTAAGAACATGCACTAATTTGAATTAATTTTCTTAGTCTAATTAGTTAAACTTTTACAAATAGAAATGGAAAGAATATATGATTTTCTCATGCCGGAAGCAAACTTAATTTATTTTGCCAACGAAGTAAACTTGATTACTGTTAGGAGGACATACTCTTTATTCGTACTAAGAAAAAGTTTAGTGGTGATGGGATTCTTGATTTTCTTAAAAAAACGAAAAGTATACCGGCATAAGCATTTTTATTAACCCTTTGCTCATTACAACAATAAGCAATGTTATTTATTGTTGTCATTTGAACCATTCGGAGTATAATATTTGATGGTATAGGCAAAAAAATTTTAATTTATATTTTTTTTTTCAATGACAAATTTACTTTTTAAAAAAGTTTCAGTTATAAAATTATCATTATTTAAATTCTATATTTATTAAAATAAAAAATAGTTTAAAACATACAAAGCTTAAATTGAATCTAGACAATCCAAAATTAATTTGGATTGTTCAAATTAGGATGAGTACTCTGTGCTTATATTTATTCATGAACATGGGATGTGCGTGCCTCGCATATTTTAATGGGAGAATTGTCATGAAGTCTTAGGTAAGGAGCATAATTACTAAAAATTTCAGTAACAACAAAGCAGCATGCAATAACGAGTTTCAAAGTAATAAGTGCTATTCACTTATTATTGGGACTTACTGATAATTATTTTTTTTCAGGACCTCGTTGTAATTCTACATATTTTAATTTGCATGCAAAGTTTTACCATATGATTATTTCACCAAAAAGAAAATCATGGGTACCATGCACAGAGCACAATCAAGGTTCGAACCTGACTAGCAAGCAGGAGCTTGCCAATCAAACAAAAATTAGAATAAAAAAAAACAAGACAACTTCATTATTGATTTGAGTAAAGAATTAACATAGAATATGATTAAAGTTGAAATTAAAGATGTGATCTTCAGTAGTACTATTTATGCGTAGTTGCACATTCCATAAACGCAGAACTCTCCCTTGTTGCACTTCTTATTGCATCCTCCACAGTTTCTTCTGTCGAATGAAGCATTCACACACTTTCCCTTACAACAAATCTCATTGTACTTGCACTTTCTCCCACACATCCCACAGTTCATCTTATCACTCTTCAAATTCACACACTTGTTCTTGCAGCAATCTGGCCCTCCATTATCATATTTTCCCTTTAAACGACAAACTCTGGGAAATTTGTCGCAATTCATGTTGTAATTATAGTAAGAGCTTCCTCCCATATTCTTCCGCTGAACAAGGAATCGCCTCACTCCAACGTTGTTTAAAGCTTCTTCTTCCTCTTTCGTCGTTTCGAACCCTGCAATGTCGTTTTCTGCAGATGATGATGATGATGATGAAGAAGCTGAAGAAGCATCTGAGATGGATATGATCAGTGCTGCAATAAGGGCGATGATTAGGGTTTGTAAGAGATTGTTCATCATCATCATCATCATCATTATGGCTATGGATGTGAATGAACTAATCAAGTTCTGTGTGTTGGGATTGTTGCAGAGGAGTGTGAGCCTGTGAGGCATTTTTTATACCAGAGGAAACTGGAATCTCAAGGATTGCTTTTTCCTGGGAAAGTCTAGGTTCATGATGCTGATGATCAATCATTTAAGAGGAAAATCATTTGATTGGATACAAAGAAAAGTCACCCTTCCTAGATTGTAACCTCATTTTAAAGTCAACAGACGTGCAATGGAACTAGACCACATAGAGTATCATGCTCTGCAATGAAATGCAGCCTCATATTTTTCTATTTAGATTTTATGTGAAAAATTTAAATCTCATTTTAAATTAAATCGTGCAAAATTTTGTTTAGATTTTAAAGTAAATTTTAATTGTGAGCGTAGATTGTTTTACGTAATTAATTGTGTTATGACAAGCATACCTAGAATAGAATCTATTCCATAGGCCGGTAATATCTGGAACTAATTTCAATACTCATTACCTTGATGAGTACCCTAAACTTATCAAATCTGGATCATCTATATCTGATTTGAACGGTTTAGATTTAAAATTTAATTAATTAATTATTTTTAAATAAAAAATATATTTTGAAAGAATAATAGTTAAGAGATTATCTTTATTTAAGATTTTATACATATTAAAATAGTTATTTTAAATAAATAAAAATAAAAAAGAAATCAAATCTGGATCATCTAAATGAGATATGAATGATTCAGATATGATGAGCCTATGGTGGTTATTAAAGTGACGAGCATTGAAACTAGTTCTGTAACATCCTAAATACTATTATAAAAAAATTTTAAATTATTATTAAAAAAATAATTAAATAATGTAAAATAATATTTTATTATTATTAAATAATAATATTTTATTAATATTTTAAAAAAATTGACCCAGCTTTCCACCAACTTTCGGTGGAAAAGCTGGGGGTTATTAAGAGGGAGAAGAATCATGGGGGAAGACCATTGACGAAAGGAAGAATTTGAAGCTGGAAATTAAAGAGGGAAGAGGAAAATGGGGAAGGATAATAAATGAGAGAAGAAAATTGAGGAAGGATGGTTAGTATGTTAAAGGATAAATAGAAGAGTGTGAGTGTTATGTAGAGAAGAGAAAGAGAGGGTGAGAGATGCAGGAAGAAAAGAACAAGAGAGTCAGTGAAGAGTTCTGCAAGTACATGCTAGCATTTGGGGATCATTTAGGTACATAAAAATACTTCTTTCTATTAGATTTCTTTTATGAATATTTTCTATATATTTAGAACTTTATATTAGTAGTATTACTACAATGTTTAGAGAAAATTTTGTGAGCTGGGTACAGAGTAAGTAATGATTTTTGACAATATATGACTGTAGAAATTTAGAGATAAATAAGTAGTTAATTTTAACCGGTTTAGATTTGTCTATTTATTGTCTGTGGTATTTAAAATTAAATTTATTTGTTGAAAAATCTGTCATTTATGATATATATCATATTTATACCGATTAAAAATAGGTTAAATAATTTATTTGGGTTGTTCGATATATTATTAAAATTTTAATCGATTTATATTTGTTTATTGATTGTTTTGAGAATTTTAAACTAAGATTTTAGTTGAAAAATGTATTATTCAAGATATATAGAATGTTTTTACCAATTAAATTTAATTTAAATAACTTATTTGGGTTACTTAATATATTATTGATATTTTAATCGGTTTAAAATGTAAAATAAGTTAGGACTATATTATTAGAAAAATTTTGAAACTGGAAATTTAAGTTATAAATTGAGATTCTTATAATATTAGATAAAAAACAATATCTTATAAATATTTATAATTTAAATGAGTTATTTGGTAGAGAAAAAAAATGTTATTTGAAGTAAGAATTTTTGGATAGTAAATATATGTATAAATATTAATAATAATAAATTCTATGTAATTTAAGTTAATTATTTGTATGTATATTAAATTGTATCTATATTATTTGTAGATTATCTTGTACTTCGGAGTTTGTAATTTGTGCTCTTATTTCTCAAGCTATGAGGTTGAGCTTGGAGTAGAGGTAACCGGGGTTAATTTATTTTATATACACGCTTTGGATTGTAAGGTGTTTATTATGTTTTTATTTTCTTAAGTTAATTTGTAAAAGTATACCTGTGAATAGAATATATATTTTATTATATGACAAATTTTGGTGAAGTGGGAAGTATGTTGATATAATTATGCTTGCGTTGTGTTTTATTAGAAATTATGTTTTCTTGTAGTACTGAATTTAATATACTAATATTATGTTATTAAATAAAATGAAAATGTGTTATACTTTATTTGAAATTTTATCATCTTACTTTGAAGATGATGATATTTTGATTTATATTGTGACTATGCATGGGGTTCATATGTGGAGGTTGGGATTTTGTTATGTGGAGGATAATTGTTCTTGAAGCCCGCGCGGCATGCCTACACTATTGATCCTAGTGTTTGGCCTCATTGTTAGACCCCTGTAGTTCTTCCTTTTCTTTGGCCCGGAATTGAGAACGAATTTTTGGGTAGACACTTCTTGCACCATAGTCCATTCTTGGGCGGTGTAGGTACAGGAGGGGGCCCGTTGCTTGATGTGAGTGAGGTGACCTTTGGCCAGGTTACTCAGCACAGAAAGCCCGGGTCCTTGTCAAGGAGTCACAAGGAGGAGCAAGGTGATGGGAGGGCATATTTTATTGTGTTGTTGCATATATGTACTTTTATATGAATTGTGTTGTGGATGGAGAGATATACTCTTATGTGATTGTATCTATTAAAGTATCATTTAATTCTTAAACTATATTTAAGCACTACTTCACCAACTTACCATCCTACTTGTATATATCATAAATTAATACTTGGTTACTGGGACTTTACCTCTCATCCCGCTATTCCATCAATGTTTTTCAGGAGAACCATTTAGTTTGGCTCGGCTCGAAGGGAAGCAACCAGAGGCCTAGGCGAGCATAGCCTAGCAGTCCTCTTCTGGTTTAGGCATGTAATGTTATGTATATTGCCATCTTAGGACCCACAACTGTGTTGACATATACTTTCTTTTGTTTGGATGACTGTATTTGATGGAATGCTGTTAAAATGGCTGAAGGCCATAAGACTCTGCTGTATGTAATACTCTTATGTGCATGACTTGTGGGCTGGGTTAGACACCCTATGTTTCTTGTGCCCTAAGTCTTTGTGGGATGAATATTATGTTGGGCTTGTGGGCGGTTACTGTGCCATGAGGCCTTGTTCTACATGTTGTTAAACCCATGGGTGTTTTAAGTATCCTGAGCCACTTGGGATGTTTTCGAATTAAGTCAAACTCTTTATAACCATAGTAGTATTTTAACACTCTAACTCAATTCTTTTTCTACCATGGTTATCATTTTAAAAATAGTTTTATAATTATGTATTAAGAAGAGGTCTTTTCAAGTTCCGGTAATGTCCTTCAATAAATTTTGTGCAATTCGGTAAATCCTCATGTAAAGGTAAATTTTATGTGTAAGCTTCGAGCGTTGATTGGGATAAAAATATATTTCAAATTAAATTAGTGTTTGGATCGGTTAACCTCAGCTTAATATATCATGGGAAGAATATGCTTTACGGTGGCATTGAGTTTGTTTGGATAATTAATTTTTATATTTGAAATGTTAATTTTTTATTAATTTCGAATAGAGATAGACGTAATTAAATAGACCGAGCCATTGAATGATAGATCTCATTTGAATATATTAATTAGGGGTGTTCAATTTATCCCATCCCAGTCGTCCCGTCCTGGTCAGGTACGAGACGGGACAGGAACAAAAAAAATTTCAGGACTGGACAGGTACGGGACGGGATAGGAATAGTGACCGGACATGAGACGGGGTTATTTTTATGGAACAGATCTTAAGTTATAGTATTATCTTAACAAAATCTCATTTCTCAATAAAATAATTCATAAAGACATTATATAGTGTTTTTTCCTGTATTTTTTTTACAGTGTTATTTTTATATCTTTTTTATATTATATAATTGAGCTTTCTACATAATATTTTTTTATGATATTTTTATCTTTAGAAGCCTAATAAAAAATAAGCATTATAATGTAAATAAATTCATATAAAAAATTATAGTATTTTTTTAAAAAAAGGGAAGCGGGATGGGATGGGACACAGGATAAAATCTTTATCCCGTTCCTATCCACCGGAACGGGTCTATCCCGATCCCGTCTCCTCCGGTGAATCTAATATTAACAACAAGTAATGAGCCACACAAACCCCTCATCTTTAATTCTTTTGAAATTTGAAATTAATAAAAAAAAATAAAAGCTAGGAAGAGTGAAAAAAAGGAACCAAAACCAGAAGCATTATTTTTTTCTTTAGTAGGATCAAGAAGATCCTCTACGAACAATAAAGATTAATTGAGCTCACAAGCCAGAGTTACTTAGTCAATGGATTAAAAATCTTGTCAGAACTACTCATATTTATCATTTTTTAAAATTAATTTAACTAACTTATAATTACTTAATAGGAGTATTTTAAGGATATATTTGTTATAATTAACTAATTTATTTAATTTTATTAATATTTCTAAATTAACTAATTACTTTTATATCAAGAATCGGATGGAGTATATATTATGTAATTTCTTACCGCATGCAGTGATAAAAGTATTACTGAAAATTAAATAAAATGCAAAATTCATGAAACGCGTAGTAGGCCAGCTACCGGGCCTTACGTTGTTTCGAAGTGATGTTGTTTGAATTTAAGCCCATTATTGCCTAGACCGTAGTCCAAAACTGGAATCCAATTTTGTTGGAAAAGGATTGTTACTGGAGTAACATGCAAACACATACAAATTGGGAGAATACTCTTTTCAAACGCTGGAAGATATTACAAAATTAAATCATAGTTTTAAAAATAATTTTATGATATATAAGATAAGTATGTGAACAAAATTTTATTTCAATTTATATGGAAACACTTTTTTCATGTGTTTTTTTTAGGTAAACCAAACATCCGTACAGAGAAAAAAATATAATAAATTTGATGGGTCACATATGTTAGGTGGGTCTTAAATATCTCTCTC